TCTTTTTTTACACCAGAGGTCCCCCCCCCCCCCACATTGAAGATTTCTTTAGATATAATCTTCAAAATGTGCAAAAAGTGCTTTTGCTGGTTGGATAATATATATCATTAAAAAAAATAAAGTAGAGGTTCGAAATCTTAAAATTGAAGACAAGGCCAAACGAGACTTTGTTTCTCACAGTTGTTGTCAAAATGATGCACGTTGGAAAATTTGAGATGGTATAATAATGAATTATCATCCTGGCATTGAATGAAAACCCAACACACAGTCATATAATTAAAGAGAAGTAGGAGAATGCATTTTAACTTCTTATGTACGGAATCCTTGAAAGGGAAAAATTACGGGGCCTAGCCCATTTGAAATTATCTACTATGATTAGAGAGTACATTGGTATAATTTTCTCATGAATTAGGGAACATGAAGTTACAAAATTGGACATTTTAAAAGTACAATAGTAGATATCAATAATAGTCATAGTATGGTTGTAGTGAATGTAGTTCTCAGTGATAGTGGGCTCTAAGGATCACTATTCATTGCTATGAAGACATCCATATGTTGTGAATATTGTAGGTGATTATAGTGCTAGCTTGTCGTATAGGCCGTAGTTGAAATTCATGGTAATATTTGGTCGTGTGGATCACATATGGTTGCTTCAGGAGCATCGATTGGCCTTAAAAGTCATATAGGAAGTAAATGAGTTGTGACATACGTTGATCGTAGTTCATCATATAGTCTGTAATGGCGAGTCATGATGATGTTCATATGCTACACGAGCATATGGACCAATTAGGTCGTAGTTAGTTACATAGATTATGGTGGTGAACTGCAATGCATATATAGGGCACAATGATTGAAGTTTGAAGTTGTATGAGCTATAAGTTATGTAGATCATAGTGGTGAGTTATAATAATGCTTAGGTCACAGAAGCTGGAATTGCATGTGCTCTGGACCACATAGGTTGTAGTTCATCATGTTGGTCATAGTGGTGAGTTTTGATGATGTTTGTAGATTGCAGAGGCCAGAGTCGGGAGCTACACGAGCAGCGGAACATGCAGGTCATAGTTAGTCACGTAGGTCATAAATGTGAGTTGTGATGACATCCATAGGTTGTAGAGGTCAGGTCAGAGTCATGAGTTGCAAGAACTTTGGATCATGTAGATCGTTGTTGGTCATGTAGGTAACAGTTGCGAGCCGTGATGATGTCTAAGCACTGCAATTAGAGAGACATTGTTGCATCATATGTGAGATGCGTTGTTACACCGTTATTAGGATTTAACATTGCATTTTTATTTAGGATGTATGGTTACGCCATCTCTAGGAGATGTTATTGCATCATATGAGGTGTGCATAGTTGCATCATTATCAGGGTGAGTTGTTATACAGTATTAGAGTTGTATTGTTATATTTTCTTCTGAAGGCGTCGTCATCGTTGCACCGTATGCGGGTTGCATTGGGGTGTGTTGCTACACTATCAGTGGTTGCAGTGGTTGGAGATACTTGTCAGATTTGCGATACTGAAGCGATGTTGGGCTTACTCTCCTCCAAACGTCAGCCTTCTTCTGACTCAAGTCTTTCCTCTCTCTCAAGAGGTGTAGGGCTCTTTTAATAGAGTCTAAGAGAAGTCTTTTTGCAATTAAGAAAGGAATTTAGATAATTCCATCGGACAACGAGGAGAGATTCTCTCTATTAGATATCATCCAGTGAACATTTGAGTACTTTAATGATGTTATAATTGAGCAATATTGAGTTCATTCGATTTGTCTCGTTAAGACATTCGATTTGACTATATGCTTCTCAAATTTAGATTGTGTTTGACTTTTTATTTATGAACTGAAAACTTCTAAAAATGGTTTTATCGATTTAATTTGGGCTTAAGTTGCCTTGAATTGGACCAAGTTTTGTATCGTTGGATTCGTCTCATCAACCCAGTCTGCTTGACTGTAAATTTGCTAAAATTTAAGTTCAGAATGATTTTTAATTAAAATTTGAATGTTCTTTTTATTATTTTCTCGAGATTCATGTTCTGCTTCAAGAATCATGTGAGATAAAATTTTGTTGATGTAATACCAAATATAAATACACAAAAATTATATGATATATATTTTAAATTTTTTTTATTTTAAAAAAATATATAATTAATCTACTTTCTCTTACCCAAAATTACTAGAATGCCGAAATCCAGAAACTCATTACAACCCTCATTTCTCTACACCAACCGACAGCAACCTTTCATCGCTAAAGCTCTCGTCCCTTGCACACAAAGCAATCCGCCATCCTCTGTAAAAATAGCTGCCGCGCTTCACCAACTTACAATCATTCTCCTTCACCTTCTCCACCTCTGCTACTACATATCTCCTGTCAACAAAAATACACTCACAATCACAGAAAGAGAGAGAGAGAAAGCAAAGGGATAAAAATGGTGAAAAGCAGGGTTCTTGTGGTAGGCGGCACGGGATATCTGGGGAGAAGAATAGTGAGGACAAGCATCGCAGAAGGGCATCCAACCTTCGTTCTTCGTCGGCCGGAGATCTGCATGGATATAGAGAAGGTTCAGATGCTGCTGTCTTTCAAGGAGCAAGGGGCTACACTTGTTGAGGGTTCATTTGGCGATCATCAGAGCCTCGTCGACGCCGTCAAAAAAGTCGATGTTGTCATATCCGCCATCTCCGGCGTGCATGTCAGGAGCCATCACATCCTCCTCCAGCTTCAGCTTGTTGACGCCATTAAAGAGGCAGGCAACATGAAGGTGCTCGCTTTCACTGCCTAACTAATACTAAGCAGACAAAATTTTAGTTGCAAGGTTGCATCTCCAATAGTTTGAAACCGTTTTCTTCAAGCAGCTGATTTAGTGTGAATATTAGAAAACACATTTTAACATTATTTATTAGCGAGTCATATTTAGGGCTATCAAACCTGGTCTTTGTTGTTAGGCTTGTTAAGAAGCTCGTGTTCGAATCATTCACTAAGTTAATGCGCCAAGTACGAACAATTTGTTTTTGCGCTCGATATATAAATGAGTCGAACGTGAACAAAGATTTGTTCGTTCGTGTTCGACTCATTTTGACATGATATAATATATATACCCAAATCTTGAATCAATTTGGGTTATTGGTTGAATATAGAGTTAACTGAGAGTTGGTCCAACCCAAATCAACTTACTTTAACGCGACCATTTTATTATATGGGTCAAATCATTTGATTAAGATCCGGCTGGGGACAAACCCACCTTAACCAAAGCCAACATGTTCAGCCCTTTCTTATGTTTATGTCATGTAATTGGTTAAATTTCGTCTGATTAACCTGAATATCATCTATTTAACATAATTAACCCTATAAAATCTTCCTAAGTCATACATAATTTGATCAAATCAACTTTTTATTGATTTCAGGTCATTTGGTAAGCTTGAACCCATTAGCCTGAACTGGATCTAAATAGTAATTAGATCGATTTGAACCTTTTTTTTTTTTGGTTACTTGAGCTTGTTTGGGATAACCGGTTCGGGTCATTTATTGGCACACCACTTTATAAATTGAATTTAGAAAGGTCTTATTTTTTTCCCCAAAAAATTATATGTGTAATCAAAATCACAAGCTAAAGATGGCATTGCATACATTCCATCAAAATATTTGTACATAACAATCATCACTATTTGCCATAACATATTTTCTAACTTCAAAAAAACAAAACACATGGGAGTAAGGCTTTATTTTGGCAGAGGTTCTTGCCCTCCGAGTTTGGAACAGACCCAGCAAGAATGGGGCATGCTTTGGCTCCTGGTAGGGAGACATTTGATGATAAGTTGGTTGTGAGGAAGGCTATAGAAGAATCAAACATCCCATTCACTTATATCTCCGCTAACTGCTTCATGGGATACTTTGTTGGTGGCCTTTGCCAACCTGGGAAAATATTACCCTCAACTGAAAGCGTATGCATGCTTGGAGATGGCAATGTTAAAGGTAATTATACATCCCTGAGTTTGGAAGAGCAAGTAGAGCTTCAAATCTTATTATACATCTCAGCTGCTTATGTTGACGAAAACGATATCGCGATGTACATCATCAAAACGATCGACGACCACCGAACTCTAAATAAAACTATTTACATCATCCCTGATTTTGGAAGAGCAAGTAGAGCTTCAAATCTTACTATATCAATTCATCTCAGCTGCTTATGTTGACGAAAACGATATCGCGATGTACATCATCAAAACGATCGACGACCACCGAACTCTAAATAAAACTATTTACATCAGACCACCAGAAAACATACTGTCACAGAGAGAAGTAGTCATGGCATGGGAGCAGCTCATTGGTAAGGAGCTTAAAAAGACCAGCATTTCAGAACAGGATTTTCTCTCTATCATCAAAGGTAAAAGGCAGTAACTTTCATGCCGTCAAATAATTTATAATAACAAGCATTTTATACTTACATATATATATGATCACTATGATTTCTTTTCATATCTGCAGAGCTGGAGTATCCACAGCAAGCGGGATATGGACATTTCTATCATATCTTTTATGAGGGTTGCTTGAACAATTTCGAGATAGACAAGGGGGAGGAGGCATCTGAGTTATATCCCGAGGTTGTTTATACTCGAGTCAACAACCTCGTTATGTGTAATTCTTAGAGGTTTATCTCTGACGTTATGTGTAATTCTACAACTTTGCAACTTCAGACTGGACTTTTTAATTCTTAGAAATGATCTTTTATTGAGAAAAAAATTTGCGTACGTCAAGGGGTACGCAGAGATGTGTACATAATAGGGTACACGGGCATTATATGGGAGTTACATGGGAGTTACAAGAGTGTTATAACTTCCTTGTAACTTTCGTGTAACTCAGTTGTAACCCGCCCTTTTATTTTATCCATTGAGATTACAAGGTTACAGCGGGGTTACACGGGAGTTACACGGAAGGTTACACGGAAGTTACACAAGAGGTACAACGGGTTATAACCCCCTTGTAATTCTCATATAAACCTCGTGTACCCTATTATGTACACGTCTCTGCATACCCCTTGACGTACGCAAATTTTTTCTCTTTCATTGGACATATTGTAAAAGTTGCATTTTCATAAATTTAATATTTAAAAACGACAAATTAAAAAAAGATACAAAACTGATAAAAATTGTCATACCACGTGATGATATGTGTCAAAGTCGCCTTGTTGCATCACGTGCAATTTTATTTTTATAAACTTGACCTAATTAATATTAAGTGTCATAATTAATATATACACACATTCATGATTGTATATATGTATCCAGATTCATGCATGTAAACATATTCACATTAGAAGCTTATGTTTATGTATATGGACATATATAAACACACACACACACACACACATATTCATGTTGAAATCAACATAACCAAAATCCACATAGATCATTCCAAATCAACCTTTAAGTTAACTAAATTTTAAACTCATCTTAATATTTAATGAACTTCAATGTATAACTATACAACATAGGTATAAGTGTGGGTGTGTGTGCGCGTGCGCTTGCGTGGATGCACATGTATACAGAGATGTGTATGTATGCATATCAATAAACCTAAAACCTAAACTAAGAACTATCCTCTTATTCCAACTCAAGCCTGAGGCTTAGCATGACATGAGGCTAAGCTTAAACAGGCCAAATCCAAAGCTGAAACCCAAGGCTAATTCCAAATTTTTCCCATGGAAAACTCTACCAAACAACCGTCTCGTCATATGGCTAAAAAAGAAACATATCCATCTTTTGGCCAACAAGTTAACCTGGATACCACTAGGTCAAATGGCCAAATGGTCAATCTGGATACCACTTGCAAGATTAGTTAAATTTGGAACCCTACCTGGTTCCCTATGCTCCCTTCAATTTGGATAAACTATGGGAAAAACAAATTCTAGCTTAGCTTGCTCCGCGCACCTCCCTAGGCATCATGTCCTCAATTCTATCGAGCTACAATCATCACTCCCTTACCATGCCATGACTGCCATAACTGAAAGGTGAGGGGAAATTCAATTTTCTGAAAGGTGAGGTACAATTATCACTCCCTTACCATGCCATCCAAAGAAATTTTGATAACATTTCGTTCTTCTCCCAAGGACTCTGGGAAGCTTCTCAAGTAAAGATTGACATGTCTTGTATATAATGTTGGTCACCAAACTAGTCCAAGCTTCAACGCAACTTGACTGCAAAGGGAAAGTTGATCCCCTCCTCCTCCTACAGCTTCTAGCTGGAGTAATTAGGGAATTATCCCTGCATGCAAAGTAATTCTTCAAATCATTCCTTTCAATTTTGAAACTTAGATAAAAAAACTCTGGTTGAGGACCTTCATTAACCTAGTATCCAATCCCATAAAGGACTGGCCTTTATAATACTACCTAGATATGACTATCAACTATACCCACTTAACATGTTAAAACCAAGCATGTTTGTTCTTATAAAATGAAGGATATGTTATGCTGTTATTTATTAGAGAGAGGAAGTAGGTCTTACAACTTGGTTATAAAAATTAAGATTCTTAAATATGACTGGTTAGTTGTTGAGTGTGGAGCCCGGTTAAAATATAATATATATATATATATATATATATATATATGTTTGTTGTCTCTTCTGTAACTATTTCTGCCTATTTACTTTTGCCTATGGAAGCTGGGTCCCGCCACCATTAAAGAAGAGAGGAAATTGCATTTGATGTGATGTGCAACTTGCAGGCGGTTCTCTTTTTTTTTTGGTTTTTCCTTCTTCACGTATGAAACACAGGAAATAACTTTCTTGGCTTCTACGACAGAACTCTAAGTGCGAAGAAAAAATCAAGGTTCGGCTCTCTCAGACTTCTTCTGCCTCCGTTTGAATCTCCCATGCAACGTGAGAAAAGAAGGCATGACTTCGCCTGTGGCTTACGCGTGAAGTAGAAGGGATTAAATCCAATTTCCGATTGGATTGGAATTGCAAGGCATCGCCGGTTTGGCCTTCTTCTTCTTCGATGTGGTTCTTCGGTGATGGCTTACAGCAATAAGAAAGAAGAATCACAAGTGCTCCTCTTTGTGGTTTGTAGAAAGAAATCATTCTTGTAAATATCGAGACTAGTGTAATTTCCTCAATTAGTAAAAATCTTCTGCAACTCCGTGGATGTAGGCAATTTGCAGAACCACGTAAATCTGTGTATTTTTTTTGTGTGAATTTTCTTGTTCTATTTATTTTTCATTTCTTCGTCGTCGACCGTTTTAAATTTTAAATATACCACAACAATTGGTATCAGAGCCAATGGTTATGGATGAAGTGAAAGTTTCGGGGATCGAGAAGTTCGATGACACACATTTTGGTTATTGGAGGATGCAGATAGAGAATTCCTATATGGGAAGAAACTTCATATTCCGTTATTGGGGAAGAGACTTGAAAGAATGGATGAAGCTGAATGAAATCTGTTGGATCGACAGGTTCTGTGGGTTTATTTGATTGACCCTATCGAGGTCCGTTGCACATAATGTCGTCAAAGAGATGACAACTGCAGATCTTATGGCAGCCATGTCAGGTATGCATGAAAAGCCATCGACGAATAACAAGGGACGAATAACAAGGTATATCTGATGAAGAAGTTATTCAATTTGAAGATGGCGGAAGGTACCTTTGTTGTACAACACTTGAATGATTTCAATACTATCACAAATCAATTATCGTCTGTGAAAATTGAATTTGATGATGAGATATATGCACTGATCTTGTTGGCTTCATTGTCAAATAACCGGGAAGCTATGAGGATGGCTGCCAGTAATTCTGCAGATAAATCTAAACTGAAATTTGAAGATATTCGTGATTTGATTTTGGTTGAGGAGGTACACAGAAAAGATTCTGGCGAGATCTCAGGTTCGAGTTCAGCATTGAATGTTAATTTCAGAGGGAGATCACAGAATAGTAACTCATATGAATTTAAATAGAGGAAAATCAAAATCAAAGAACATAAGCATGAGCAAGTCAAGGCCTGGTAAATAAGTAATTTGCTGGAATTGTGGCAAAACTGACCACATAAGGAGGAACTGTAGGAATTCTAAGAAGAAGGAGAATAACAGTGCGAATGTGGTAACTTAAGAATCACAGGATGCACTACTACTGACATTTCATAGTCATGTTGATGACTAGATATTGGATTCAGGGGCTTCTTTCCATACAACTTTCCATCGGGAATTGATGTGGAATTATGTTGCAGGTGACTTTGGGAAAGTATATCTGGCAGTATATAAGTATATCTGGCAGATGGAGAAGCTCTGAACTTGGTAGGAATGAGAGATATTGACATTGCACTTCCAAATAAGAACAAGTAAACTCTGCAAAAGGTCAGACGCATTCTTGAACTGAGAAGAACATCATTTATGTTGGGCAGCTTGATGAGTGTGGACATTTAGTAGTGTTCTCAGATAGCACCTAGAAAGTTACTAAAGGAGCATTGGTATTGGCTTGGGGTGAGAAAACAGGTACATTATATATGACTACTGATTTAATTAACAGTGTTGATACTATTGTTGCAGAGAGCACATCAGAGTTGTGGCATTGCAGACTTGGCCACATGAGTCAAAGAAGTATGAAAGAACTTCAGTCTGGAGGTAAGCTACCAGAACTGAAGTCAGTTGATCTCGGCATCTGTGAGAGTTGCATTATGGGGAAACGGAGGAAGGTCAGTTTCTTGAAAGGTGGCAGGACGCCAAAGACAGAAAAGTTGGATCTTGTACACACAAATGTGTGGGAACTTTCTCTAGTGGCATCTCTTGGAGGCTCTCGTTACTACATCACATTCATTGATAATCATAGCAGAAATGTATGGGTTTATTTGTTGAAGTATAAATCTGATTTTTTCAGTGTGTTCAAGACTTGGAAGGCCGTGGTTGAGACAGAGACATGCTTAAAGCTGAAATGTCTGAAGTCTGATAATGGTGGTGAGTACATTGATGGTAGGTTTAAGGAGTACTGTGCAGCTCAGGGAATCAGAATGGAGAAAACCATTCCAGGGACACCACAACAAAATGGTATTGCAGAGCGCACAAATAGGACCATTAATGAGCCGGCTAGAAGCATGAGATTTCACGCCGAACTACAACCTACTTTCTGGGTAGAAGCGGTCAGTACTGCAGTTTATTTGATTAACAGTGGGTCATATGTTCCATTAAACTGTGAATTACCTGTAGAAGTCTGGAGTGGGAAAGAGGTAAAATTTTCTCACCTTAAGTCTTTTGGTTGTTGTTCTTATATTCTCATTAATCCTGATGCTCGTAATAAGCTTGAGACTAAGTCAAGGAAGTGTTATTTCATTGGCTATGGAGATGAGGCATTTGGATATCGTTTCTGGGATGATTAGGGTCGGAAGATCATAAGAAGCAGAAACGTGATTTTCAATTAGAAAGTTATGTACAAGGATAAGTCCACTACAATTTCTGAAACAACACTGAAGGAATCTGAGTTGGTAAGATTTGAGGATTTACCAGATAGGACAGAGATGCAGGTGA